CACTCCCCCTCGAAATAATTGAACACTCAACAAGACGTCAAAACCCACCCCTCACATAACACCACCACTACCGAATTCAATCCATAATAATCCCAAATTATTATTTTCGTAGGCACTAATATCGTTGAATAGCTACTAGTTGTCATGGTATATATAAAATATAGATTAGTGGTATGTATCCGTGTAATTACGCATATGTATGCACGTCCAAAAGCCGTAAACAACAGAAAAAAAAGAGTAAAATAGGGGAGACCGGCCGCTTGAACCCCATATTTACCAAAAATAACAATTTATTCCAGAGGAGAGCTTAATGTCAATCCGTAATATATCGTACCTGCCCCATCAGTCGCCTAGAGTTGAAATTGTATCATTTTGTCGAAATATAATACCATTTCCATGTGTTATATTTCGCCGGTGCGAGTTTATTGAAGATAATTTTTTATTCTTTGCGTAGCTGACCGTCCGCCGCTCACCAAAAGCTGTATTGTGAATTTAAATTATTCCTATTCCTCACCCCAAGACCAAGATTTCACACGAAATGAAAAAAAAATTACTCGTCTAGCCCCAGTAGTTCCCGAGGTATCGAGAAAATCAATTTTTCGCCGTCCGTAAAGTGAAGTTTTTCGTACGCGCGTGACTTCAGACTTCTCCGCATACGCGGCGATTCCGAAGCTTGGCCTCCTGCTCCGGCAGTAAACAACCATTTTTCTACGAGTACAAAACGACATTTTTTATCACAATACTTTCGCGATCACGTGAAGCGTCCGTAAAGTGTCACTTTTCCCCACTGCACGATAATAAAGTTTTTTTTCGGCTGTATCTCGAAAACGACTGGGTCGATTCGGGAATTCCTTGTGAAACAAAAAAAAAACTTGTTTCCTAATAGTTCGCAACATATCGCGACTATTTTTTCGCCGTCCGTAAAGTGAAGTTTTTCGTACGCGCGTGACTTCAGACTTCTCCGCACGCTCCGTGATTCGCGAACGGTTGCCCCTCGCGTCTGGTAGTAAACAACCATTTTTCTGCGAGTATCAACCAACCTGTTTCGTCACAATACTTTCGCGATCACGTGAAGCGTCCGTAAAGTGTCACTTTTCCCCACTGCACGATAATAAAGTTTTTTTTCGGCTGTATCTCGAAAACGACTGGGTCGATTCGGGAATTCCTTGTGAAACAAAAAAAAAATTGTTTCCTAATAGTTCGCAACATATCGCGACTATTTTTTCGCCGTCCGTAAAGTGAAGTTTTTCGTACGCGCGTGACTTCAGACTTCTCCGCACGCTCCGTGATTCGCGAACGGTTGCCCCTCGCGTCTGGTAGTAAACAACCATTTTTCTGCGAGTATCAACCAACCTGTTTCGTCACAATACTTTCGCGATCACGTGAAGCGTCCGTAAAGTGTCACTTTTCCCCACTGCACGATAATAAAGTTTTTTTTCGGCTGTATCTCGAAAACGACTGGGTCGATTCGGGAATTCCTTGTGAAACAAAAAAAAAATTGTTTCCTAATAGTTCGCAACATATCGCGACTATTTTTTCGCCGTCCGTAAAGTGNGAAAATCAATTTTTCGCCGTCCGTAAAGTGAAGTTTTTCGTACGCGCGTGACTTCAGACTTCTCCGCATACGCGGCGATTCCGAAGCTTGGCCTCCTGCTCCGGCAGTAAACAACCATTTTTCTACGAGTACAAAACGACATTTTTTATCACAATACTTTCGCGATCACGTGAAGCGTCCGTAAAGTGTCACTTTTCCCCACTGCACGATAATAAAGTTTTTTTTCGGCTGTATCTCGAAAACGACTGGGTCGATTCGGGAATTCCTTGTGAAACAAAAAAAAAACTTGTTTCCTAATAGTTCGCAACATATCGCGATTAATTTTTCGCCGTCCGTAAAGTGAAGTTTTTCGTACGCGCGTGACTTCAGACTCATCCGCACGCTCAGCGACTCGCGGATGGTTGGTCTCCGCCTCCGGGAGTAAATTACCCTTGCTTTTACGAGTATCAAATGACATTTTTCATCACAATATTTTCAAGATCGCATGAAGCGTCCGTAAAGTGTTCCTTTTTCCCATCGCGCAATGGAAAAGTTTTTTTGCTGTATCTCGCGAACTACTGAACCAAATCGGCTCATTTTTTTTTTCATATCGCCTCAAATTTCCCTGGCTATCCAATCCCATCTCGCCAGCCAAATCCCATTCCGATGCCCCCTAATAATTATTAAATAAAAAAAAATTGGGAAAGATTTTGCAAAAAAAATAGAGATGATGGTGGCGGTGGCGGGCATAAATGGGGGTCCTAAAACATTTTAAAATACCTTATTGCCCGGTTTGCCTGTTTAGAGCCACGAGGTCGGGATGAAAACTCTCGTTATGCTGGACGAACAAGGCGGTAAGCCATTTAACTAATTAGAAATAACCTAATACCTGATGCTTATACTCAGAAAGTTCGTACATGTGGAGAAATTCAATGATGTAGTGATGATGCGGAGGGACCGAGTTCGCTAGACACTTTATGACCACGATAGACAGAATACAGATACTCACATTCTTCAATATGAATATGAATAATTACAACAATTGAAAAAAAAAACGTTGCGATAATTTCTTATTTGTGGAGGAATAACATTTTTGTTAATTATCCAGATATCCAACTAACCAAATCACCTACTCCGCCAACCAACCGGCCAACAAAACAGTCTGTTCGAACCATTATTCTGTGATGAGTGAAACATAATACTTGATATGCAAATATTATACTCGAATTATAATTCACATATTGTATATCAGTTTAAACGTTGTTCATTAAACATGCATTACCCGAATAATATACATTGTTATACCTAACAAATATGAGATGATGTGTGCCGTATACTTTGTGATTTCGTAGGATCATTGCTTTTGAAACATAGAGAAACGTCTGATCAAATGAGAAATCGAATAATAATTATATTATTCAGTAATGAAGTGATGAAACTTTACTAGAGAGAAAATACCTTTTTTCTAACGGTCGATANTTTCCCCACTGCACGATAATAAAGTTTTTTTTCGGCTGTATCTCGAAAACGACTGGGTCGATTCGGGAATTCCTTGTGAAACAAAAAAAAAACTTGTTTCCTAATAGTTCGCAACATATCGCGATTAATTTTTCGCCGTCCGTAAAGTGAAGTTTTTCGTACGCGCGTGACTTCAGACTCATCCGCACGCTCAGCGACTCGCGGATGGTTGGTCTCCGCCTCCGGGAGTAAATTACCCTTGCTTTTACGAGTATCAAATGACATTTTTCATCACAATATTTTCAAGATCGCATGAAGCGTCCGTAAAGTGTTCCTTTTTCCCATCGCGCAATGGAAAAGTTTTTTTGCTGTATCTCGCGAACTACTGAACCAAATCGGCTCATTTTTTTTTTCATATCGCCTCAAATTTCCCTGGCTATCCGATCCCATCTCGCCAGCCAAATCCCATTCCGATGCCCCCTAATAATTATTAAATAAAAAAAAATTGGGAAAGATTTTGCAAAAAAAATAGAGATGATGGTGGCGGTGGCGGGCATAAATGGGGGTCCTAAAACATTTTAAAATACCTTATTGCCCGGTTTGCCTGTTTAGAGCCACGAGGTCGGGATGAAAACTCTCGTTATGCTGGACGAACAAGGCGGTAAGCCATTTAACTAATTAGAAATAACCTAATACCTGATGCTTATACTCAGAAAGTTCGTACATGTGGAGAAATTCAATGATGTAGTGATGATGCGGAGGGACCGAGTTCGCTAGACACTTTATGACCACGATAGACAGAATACAGATACTCACATTCTTCAATATGAATATGAATAATTACAACAATTGAAAAAAAAAACGTTGCGATAATTTCTTATTTGTGGAGGAATAACATTTTTGTTAATTATCCAGATATCCAACTAACCAAATCACCTACTCCGCCAACCAACCGGCCAACAAAACAGTCTGTTCGAACCATTATTCTGTGATGAGTGAAACATAATACTTGATATGCAAATATTATACTCGAATTATAATTCACATATTGTATATCAGTTTAAACGTTGTTCATTAAACATGCATTACCCGAATAATATACATTGTTATACCTAACAAATATGAGATGATGTGTGCCGTATACTTTGTGATTTCGTAGGATCATTGCTTTTGAAACATAGAGAAACGTCTGATCAAATGAGAAATCGAATAATAATTATATTATTCAGTAATGAAGTGATGAAACTTTACTAGAGAGAAAATACCTTTTTTCTAACGGTCGATATCTCGAGATCGGGTGAGTGAATTTTTAGATTTTTTTTCTCATTTTGAAGATATTTTTGTGGACTTTGAAATGAATTCAGACTTGGGGAAATCGGATCGTTAGTTCAGGAGATATATAATTTTAAAGAAAGTCATTTTATCTTGTTTGTTCTGAGGTTGCAGGTGATGGCTTCTGGAAATATGAGATTATCTCGGTAACGAGTGGGTTTAGGAGGAAAAGTCAAACAATCTTTTTTGTAGCTGAGGAAATTCTCTACAAATTATTCCCCAGACATTTTTTTCTAGAACCAGTCGTTATCGAGATAATTGAGGAGATAAAAAGATGGGAGGAAAAACAAGCTGTTACGTTTCATCAATTTACTACTGAAAATTCAAAAAATTTGGGACTTTTTTCGAACTGTAAGAATAAAAAGTCATCGGTAATGATTGCTAAAGCTTTCTCTATGTTGAACTATATTTTTTGCGCTGAAAACCATCCATTATTTCCGTAGATTAGATTAGAAAGCCCGGAACTCTGATGGTTAACAAATCCGATTTTCCCGGACTCGAGTGAAGCTTAAACTCACTCTAAAAATACCCAGATTTCTGCGGTAGATTAAAGACTTTTGTTGAAATCTCACAGGATAACTAGAATGGCAAGAGCCTTCAACGAAAATTCACCCACTCTCTCATATCATTCATTCCTCATACATTTCGATATTTTTTTTTTTTCGTGAATCAACAGAGCAATTGGACCGAATCGAGGAGGGTATGGATCAGATAAATGCGGATATGCGTGAGGCCGAGAAGAATCTCACGGGGATGGAGAAATGCTGTGGGCTCTGTGTGCTACCTTGCAACAAGTACTTCATCTTGAATATATAAATGATTCAGTAGTGAAGTTGTCGGATGTAATGTCATGATTAAATTTTGAAAATTTATTTTTTAATCAATTTGCTGAATTAATCTGTCATGAATGGAGTTGATTTAGGAGAGCATGAGACACTGTTGAGGGTCAAATGGGAGAGACCGATGGGGGTTCAAATTTTCGCAAGGGTCTAATGGGAGAGACGAAAGAAATGATCACTCCCCGCGTCCCTCCCGTTTGACCTTCTTGACCGCTCTGCCGGTCCCTCCCTTTTGACCCTCAAGGAGGTGTAATTCTTCAAATGTTATTTTGGGTCAAACAGTGTTGAGGGTCAAACGGGAGAGATAGGTAGAAGGTGAATTGTCGCAAGGATCTAATGGGAGAGACGAAAGAAATGATCACCCCCCTCGTCGCTCCCGTTTGACCGCTCTGCCGGTCTCTCCCATTTGACCCTCAAGAAGGTTCAATTCTTCAAATGTTATTTTGGGTCAAACGGGAGAGACATGTGGAGGTTCAAATTTTCGCCAGGGTCTAATGGGAGAGACAAAAGAAATGATCACTCCCCTCGTCGCTCCCGTTTGACCTTCTTGACTCCTCCGCCGGTCTCTCCCTTTTAACCCTCAAGGTTTGATTCTCTAAATTTTATTCAAGGTCAAACAGGGTTGAGGGTCAAACGGGAGCGACAGATGGAGGATAAAATTTTCTCCAGGGTCTAATGGGAGCGACGAGCGTGAAATGATCTCTACAGTCATGCCTCCCGTTTGACCCCTAGCAAGTTTTAATTCTCGGACAAATAAATCAGAAAGGTAAAACGTTTTTAAGGGTCTAATGGAAGAAGCGAGTGGAGTAATTACTTCGCTGGTCTCTCCCGTTTGACCCTCTTGACCTATTCGCCTGCCTCTCCCGTTTGATCGACAAGAAAATTTGATTCTACCGATCACTTCGCTCGTCTCTCCCGTTTGACCCTTTTGACCCCGCCGCCTGTCTCTCCCATTTGACCCCCAAGCAAGTTTGATCCTACTGATCACTTCATTCGTCGCTACCGTTTGATCCTCACTCCTTCACTACTGAATCAATTCCGATTGTCATACTCCATTAAAAAAATATCTAATCGAATATCGGAATTGAAGAGGGGCCAGCTTCAAAGAGGACGAGGGCACGTGGAAGGGCAACGACGACGGAAAAGTCGTCAACAATCAACCGCAACGTGTAATGGATGATCGCAATGGTCTCGGCCCTCAGGGTGGCTATATCGGTAAAATCACTAATGATGCACGGGAAAATGAGATGGAAGACAACATGGGACAGGTCAACACAATGATCGGAAATCTGAGGAACATGGCCATTGATATGGGTAGTGAACTCGAAAATCAGAATCGACAAATTGATAGGATCAATCGCAAGGTAAACAACGAAATTCAGACTTTTCAAATCGTCTATTATCTCTATAACGAGTGATTTTAGGAGATAAACTCATACGACATTTTTTGTTGGAAATTTTCACACTTACAAAAAAGGTCGGATGAGTTTTTCTCCTCACGCCACTCCTTTTCGAGATAAATGTGTGTTTCAAGAAATGTTGAGAAACGACGAATCGATTTTTTACATCTTTTTAAATGTTGTATTATCTTCATAGTGAGTTGTTTTGAAGGATGAAATCATCAGACATTTTTTGGCGGAAAAGGCCTGATGAAGTTTTCTCCGAAAACCACTCGCGTCCGAGATACATGGACAATTAATAAAAAGGCAGAAGTGCTAAAACGTAAAAAGTTGATTCTTCACGATCCGTTAAATGTTGAATTATCTCGATAACGATTGGTTCTGAGAGATAACTTCAAAGGACATTTTGTCCTTTGATGTTGTCTTCTGTAGCCACTCGTTTCCGAGGTAAAAAAAAATGGCAGAAGTGCTAAAATTTGAAAAGTCGATTTTCATCCTACAAGTGTTGGATTATCTCGATAACGTGTGATTTTGGAATAAAAATGCGTCAATTTTTCTCCCAAAACCCCTCGTTTCTGAGATAAGGACAATTAACAAAACGGCAGAAGTGTTGAAAACATGAAACCACAATTCTCATGTTTTAACCGTTGAATTATCTCGATAACGAGTAATTTAATCAAAAAACTTCGCAGGACATTATTGCCGGAAAATTTAATCCTCTGCAAAAAATATCTTGTGACGTTTTCTCCTAAAACCACTCGTTCCCGAGATAAATGCAAAAATGCCGCATGTCAAATTCGATTCACTCGACTCACTAGCTCATGTCGTATGGAATAATTAACCCCCTGTGTGACACAACGTCTCAGGGGGGGCTATGGTGGGGGCTAGGGAAGTCCGCGCGTGGGGCGGACGGTGGGGATACACCTAGAACACTTGTTACTCGATTTCTTTTTTTTATTTTCAGGGCGAGTCCAACGAGACCCGAATACAAGTTGCAAACGAGCGGGCGCATCAACTTCTCAAATAAATTATATCAGCCTAGCCTATATTTTCCCTCAATTTTGATCGTTTTCTTCTCCCCGTACCCCCCAAAATCTCCTAGTTTTTTCCTAAAATTTTAGCAGAGAGAAACAAAAAACGAGATGATAATAATTAATTGAGCTCTCTGCATTATATTTAAACGCTTAACCGCATCATTGAGACCATTAACATTCTAATTAGACGGTCGGCATATTAAATTTATTCATTACGCAATTAAAAATTTTAATTGGCTAGTTTTTGAAACTGATGTGGTGAGCGATTATTCATTCTAAAGATTGAAAATAAAATTGATTAAATCAATCTATATATACTATTCGAAGAAAAAAATTGTTTATCTTTTGAACGAAAAAATTTCAATTATAAAATTTATTGTTGCAAAGATGCTAATTAACCAACTAGCGATTGATAGACGAACCATTTTATTTATGAATGTTATCGGAAAAATCATTTAAAAAAATATTCAATGGCTTGTTACACTACATATTACCATGCCACAATAAAAAAAAAAAGAAATAAAAAGTTTTAAAAAAAATAGTGCACAAAAATTCGGGATATTTACGCCCAGTTGACTAAATACATAATTAGGTAAATCAGTAATACATGCTGAGGATGAGAGAAGAATAAAGATTGTTTCGAAGAAGCTGCGATTGCCGTCGAGAAAAAAAATATTCCGAAAATCCTTATTGGATGCAAAAAAGTTTGTTGAACCCTCTAGGGAGAAAAACGCAATTGTTATAGTTATTTATTTCTTCATGTTCATTACGACCATTCCATCGATCAACTTCTAGATAATTTTCAGTCGAGATCAGAGCGGAATTTTTTTTTGGGTACGAAACAAGACAGGAGTATCGAAACGGCGCTACATAGACTCCATATGAAAATTGGCCTGTCCTCACATGAACTGCGAAAACGAAAAAAAAAGTGAAACAAAGCGTAAAATAAGAATACGTAATAAGGAGTTATATACGAGTGAGTACCTGTCCTGCGCAAGTCGTATAGGATATTTGCTTTTTCTTTCAACAAAAAATAGAAAAAAAATTGGATACACCGTACCTCCATATCGTGAGAGAAACCCCAATGGAAAAGAATGTGCACTTGGTTTTGTACAACATGAATGCAAAGAAAAATGAAAACTGTTGATGACGTGTGTTTAATCATTCATATCAGACACATGTGACCCGGAGCAACAGCATCGATGATTTTTCTCCCTATTTGTTTAGTCATCGCAGGGAACATTGTGAATATTTGTAGATATTGAACAAAAAAAAATTATGAAAAGATGAGATTTGAGTCTAATCTGAATAAAAACATTCTTAGAGTTTAATATGAAATAGATGAAAATTATTGAGTGAAGAGATGGAAAGAGAGTTAACTTTTGCGTGCGGATGATAAATAAGTGAATTTAAAGTGCTGTGCACAGTTTGAATAAATTGTTTCAAGGTTTTTTGGGTTTTCTAGGTGAACAATTTTTTAAGATCCAAAATAATAATGTAGAGAATATTGTACTTATGAAGAAAACGAAAAAAATCTCTCAGATATTACATGTATTATAACTTCATTGCAGTTGGAGGCAAGGTTTATTATTTTTGCTTATGTACTTGAGTTTCGAATTATAATAAAATATTATGAGCAATAGGTAAATATATTGTTGTCTATTTTTTGCAAGGTTTTCAGAACCAACTGTTTATGAATTAATTATTGATCGTTTTTTTCATTATGAAGGCAAGTGGGGGAAAATGGACAATTGACTTTTTTTTATTCACCATTGAACTAAATCCAAACAATTCAATGTACATATACTCATGCACATGTTTAAAAAAAAGTCAAAGGGTCTATTTTATGTCACTCTTCCTCTAATGACTTTTTTTCATTGGTAGGTCAATGGTGAAATGCCCATTATTAAATTTTTCATCGGTAGTTCAGTGGTAGAATTCTCATAATTTTTCATCGGTAGTTCAGTGATAGAATTCTCATGATGTAATTTTTCATCGGTAGTTCAGTGATAGAATTCTCATGATATAATTTTTCATCGGTAGTTCAGTGGTAGAATTCTCATAATTTTTCATCGGTAGTTCAGTGGTAGAATTCTCATAATTTTTCATCGGTAGTTCAGTGGTAGAATTCTCATAATTTTTCATCGGTAGTTCAGTGGTAGAATTCTCATAATTTTTCATCGGTAGTTCAGTGGTAGAATTCTCATAATTTTTCATCGGTAGTTCAGTGGTAGAATTCTCATAATTTTTCATCGGTAGTTCAGTGGTAGAATTCTCATAATTTTTCATCGGTAGTTCAGTGGTAGAATTCTCATAATTTTTCATCGGTAGTTCAGTGGTAGAATTCTCATAATTTTTCATCGGTAGTTCAGTGGTAGAATTCTCATAATTTTTCATCGGTAGTTCAGTGGTAGAATTCTCATAATTTTTCATCGGTAGTTCAGTGGTAGAATTCTCATGATATAATTTTTCATCGGTAGTTCAGTGGTAGAATTCTCATAATATAATTTTTCATCGGTAGTTCAGTGGCAGAATTCTCGTGTAATTTTTCATGAATACTTCAATAACAAACAATCCCTCCCAAATCCAGTGTCCAATATTATTTATTAATCCTCAGAAAATACAATAAAAGGTACAATAAAAAAATACCATGACTGAGATCCACCTCAATCAAAAAAATTTCGCACAAAAATAGTATACCTACGATAAAAAACACATTTAAAACCCTAGTTCTACAAGAACAAATTTCCAAATTGGCCCTAATCAATATCAATGGTCCGGGTAACTTGTCTCGCCTTGAATGCATTCCTGGGACTCTGCCTCTTGGGAGTGCCAGCCAAGGGAACAGCCTTGAGAGGAGTCCTCTTCATATCGACAGGTGCCCTCCTGACTAAGGACCTAGCACTCTTTGGGGTTTTCACGGCTAGAGGTTTCTTGATGTGTGGAGTCCTGTAGTTCGAGGGAGCTTCACTAGCTACAGCACTGACATTCAGATTGAGTGAATTCTCCTGGTCACTCCTGACCCTTCCTTCGTGACTCTTCGGGCTTCTGCACTTTTTCTTCCTCTCGGACTTGTTCGAAGGAGGAGTCACCTTTTCCCTCAGATTGGACTGCGATGAGGTGCGTTGTCTCACAACCGCTTCTTGATGGCTCTTGCACTCATCATCAAACAACTTGGCCTTAGCCAGCACCATCCCTGCATTCTGCGTCCTGAGTTTAGCGACAGAATCCCTGCCTGTCTGCATCAGTCTAGGAGACCTATTCCTCCGCAGTAACAAGGACTTGGCCGTGTGTTTCTCAGACTCCAAATAAATACTGGCGTTCTCCCACGTGAACAAATCCTTCTCCGTCATAAACTCCAACTTCTTCCCCGCGTTCTGACTCGATGGCAAGGCATCCTGTATCTGCCTCTGGGAATTAGTCTTCTTCAAATTACTCATCCGAAGGTTGTAGTAAGAAACTCGGTTCTTCTGTTCCACTTCACTCCCGTGGAAGGACGAAGCCCTCCGGACTTGCCTAAGGGCTCCCACCCTGGGGGACTTTAACAACGGAATCTGCCCTTCGGATTCCTCATAGCTGAAGGAAGACCTAGTGTGCTCGGCAGTATGACTCATCAGTGAGCACAACTGCTGATGGAGAAAATCTAACCTAGCGGTTGTCTCTTCACTGCACACCGTGTCCCCATCCATCTGGGGGTAGGTGGATGGAGCAAGAGGGGTCGGCTGTTCCGAAATATGCCAGGATGCTGAACGCGAGACTCTCCGTTTGCTCGCAGGCTTCTCCTGCGATCGTCTCCTGATGTTTCCGATCTTTCTGGCACTGGGGGATCTGATAACCTTCCCCTCCGATGGCTTCCGAATCTTCAGCTCTTTCCCCAGACGTCTGGCAAGCTGATCAGCAGGAGTGATGCTGCCAATGCTAGCCTCTCCTAGAGTCCTCTCGTACTTGCTCTGGACTTCGCTTGCCGAATCCATGCAGAAGCTGTCGATCGTCTCGAGTTCTTGATCGATCCTCGTTTCAATCGCTGAGACACGGTTTTTTATCTCCTCGTACTCCTTCTTTGGGATCTTGACGTATTCTTCGGGGGCTTTGGCAGGATTAGGAGGAAAGGTCAGGGACTTGAGGGGCTTTGGAGGGAGGGGAGGGTGATCAGGGTTCTCGTCGGAGAGGTTGACGTCGGCCTCCATGAAGAAGTGATCGTACTCTTCTGTCAGGGTGGACTTGGTTCGCGTGTCGATCAGGGAGGAGGCGCTTGACTTCTTCAGATTTCTCTTCTTCAGGTTTCTGGAGACGCCACTCGCCATGCTCCAGCGGCGCTCGATCACCGGCGAGTGCTCAGGCTCGGTTTCATGGCCCAGTTTGTGGCGGCTCCTGGAGACCAAGCGGTCCAGGTTGAGACCCAGTCTCCTGGACTTGTCGACTTTCTGGGGTTTCTCGTCTGTTGGATTCGGGTCCTCGGATACTGGAGAGGGGAATAAGATTCGCGGATTTGAATCTCGCTTTTTCTTGGACGTGGTGGAGGGATTCGGCAGGGGGTCTGCTAGCTTTCGTTTTTTTGAGGATTTTGAGGGCGAGGGGGGAGGGGGCTGGGCGGGGAGCAAGGAGCGACGGGAGAGAGAGTCTTCGGGGGAATTTTTGCCAACGATTTTCTTGAGACCGTTGAACATTCGGGTCAGGCTACCAGAGCGGTGCTTCTTTTTTTTACTTTTGAAGGAGGAGCTCGAGTGGTCAAGGTCTGTACCTGGACTGTTGGTGTCTGACATGGCGGTCTCCATTATTTCTTTGGGGAGAACGCCAATGCGGCGGGCATTCTCGATTAATATCTGAGAAGTGAAAAAATGGGGGGAGTTTTACTTGCTGAAGAGTTGAGGTTCTTATGGGTGAGTAGTCTTTTGAAAATTTACGTGTTCATGGGGAATTATGAGATATTTTACCATAAAATGATCGTTAAGTTTTAGGAATAAATGAATAAGTAAAATAAATGTTTTGGGAGTGAACGATGAGAATGGAATACATCAGGTGTCATTTTCAAGAGTGAAAGAAGAGCTTTGGAACGGGAGTGAGTGATCAAATTTCACTCTGCAGATCTCAAGATATTGAAGAGTGAAATTGTGAAACGGAATGGGAAAAGTATTTTTTATATGTTGTTGAGGATTTAACTGTCTTCATGACGAGAGCTTCTACAAAAAATATCGAGACATTTTTTGTCTGAGATTTCCTGCTATAGAAACGAAGTTTTCTGACGTTTTATTCTAAAACCACTAGTTCTCATGGTAAATAAAAAAATCAACGAGTTTGGAACTTTACTTGACTGAGAATCAAGCAAAATGGTCTTTCATTCATCAATATCTCAAGAGTGGCAGAGTGAAATCTAAAAAATCAAATCTCATTTTAAAGATAATTCGTCAAGCTTCGAAATGAGTTCAAATTCATTTAAACCGCATCATTCAATTCCGAGATATTCAAAGTTAAAGGAGAAATGACAAAAACTGAAACCATCAATTTCCAACATAAATATTTTAAAAAACCAAAAAAACTGAATCCTTGGAATTTTTTATATCTCACTAAGTATTAAATTAACACCAAGAGGCCCTCGAAAAAAATAAAAATACATTTTCCATCCAAAATTCCTTCTCTCATAAAAAAAAATTGCCATTTGCTCCCCAAATATAAAAATCAGGCAAAATAATCTTCCTTCAATCCTCAATATCTAAAGATTGGCAGAGTGAAATTTCAAAAATCAAATCTCATTTCAAACCTATTATTTCAATCCTCAAAATGGCTTCAAATTCATTCAAACCGCATCATTCAATCCTGAGATATCCAAAGTTAAAGGAGAAACGACAAAAACTGAAACCATCAATTTCCAACATAAATATTTAAAAAAACCAAAAAAACTGAATCCTTGGAATTTTTTATATCTCACTAAGTATTAAATTAACACCAAGAGGCCCTAAAAAAAAATAAAAATACATTTTTCATCCAAAATTCCTTCTCTCATAAAAAAAATTTGCAATTTGCCCCCCAAATATAAAAATCAGGCAAAATAATCTTCCTTCAATCCTCAATATCTAAAGATTGGCAGAGTGAAATTTCAAAAATCAAATCTCATTTCAAATCTATTATTTCAACCCTCAAAATGGCTTCAAATTCATTCAAACCGCATCATTCAATTTCGAGATATTCAAAGTTAAAGGAGAACGACAAAAACTGAAACCATCAATTTCCAACATAAATATTTAAAAAAACCAAAAAAAACTGAATCCTTGAATTTTTTATATCTCACTAAGTATTAAATTAACACCAAGAGGCCCTAAAAAAAAAATACATTTTTCATCCAAAATTCCTTCTCTCATAAAAAAGATTTGCAATTTGCTCCCCAAATATAAAAATTAGATGAAATAATCTCCCTTCAATCCTCAATATCTCAAGATTGGCAGAGTGAAATTTCAAAAATAAAATCTCATTCCAAACCTATTATTTCAACCCTCAAAATGACTCCAAATCGACTCAAATCGGATCATTCAATCCCCAGATATTCCAAATCAACCCGGAGGCCCCAAAAACTGAAACCCCAAATTCCCAGCAGGAACCTAAAAATCCCAAATAAAACCCCCTGAATCTGCAAAATAAATCCCTGAAACCGCTCCCCAAATTACCTTAACAATAGCGAGATGAGCATTCAGCCTATTCTGCACAGCAGCCATAGTGGTCTCCCTGACAGGCATGATATTGGGGCCAACGACCTTCGCCAGATTGTCGACCCCCATTTTATTCATTGCCTCGTACCTCGCGACCCTTTGAAAAAAGTCCATCAAGAAAGCCAGAGTCATCAAATACTTGATGGGCAGCAGGAGACAGGCCTGCAGAATGGCATCAACTTTGCAGAACTTGAGCATTCCACATCTGACAAACAAGTCATGAAAATCATTGGGAATCAGTGGCTCCGGCAGATCCCTCAGGTATTTCTTGAGACAATTGGCAACATCAATGGCATTGTACTTATCACCGAGTTCATTTCCATTGTCAAATCTGGCGACAAGCTCTCGCTGTCTAGTCTGTGAGCCAGCCTTCCTGAAGAGGCCCTCTTGGTTGAGATGAAGATCAAGATAATTCACTGATTGTTTCACAAATACTGGAACACTTATCACAACACCAGTCGATAATTTAATGGTATCGAATTTTTGCTGGCTCAGGGAAACACCGAAAACCTTTTTAACTCGATTGTCTTTGTCGGTTTTTGGGTGAGACCTCTTCACCCTCGACTTAACCCCCAATGTTCGGAGGTTATTCGTGACTGCATGATGCACTTTACTCGTATTTGGAATACTGTATATTAGCATTGTGGGAGGGGTTAACTCACTGGGAATGACACGGACCTTTCGAGGGTCTAGCCAAAGTCATTTAGTGGTGAATTGTGGGTTTAGTACTTGTCAACAACGGAGTAAACAAATTGTGGGGCCTATTTCAAATGATACTTCGGCGTAACTGCCATGACAGTATTGCCAACGTGAACAATGTTTTGGTGGAAATGAAGCTTTAGGTTTTTTTGTAAAAAAAAATTGTTAAGAATTAATTAATGATGATGGAAATTTAATTGGAGTAGTTGGAGAGGACAGGGGGCATGGATTTTTCATTTTTTTACTTGTTATTTGGAAGATTGATTTTTTATGGAAAATAGGGAAATACTTTTGACAAAGATTGAATGATTTGTGAACAAAAAAAAAATTGTTTCGTAGTAATTGGCCTCTGCGGTCATTAGCTGATTTGAGGTGATGAAATATATGATGTCCAAATGGTAAAAAATTGATCTAGTCATTTGGACTGAGCCCAAAAAAAGTAATAGAAAATATTAAAAATTCTAAATTGGGACTTGGACTTGAGTGTTGTTCCAATTTTCGTTATTCTCAGAGAAATATTAATTAATAAACTGGACCCAGCCTAATTCATGAGAGAAAGCAACTCAATCTCCACAAAATAAGAATGTTATCAACAATTCAATGCCTTAGGAACATTTTTTAAAAATCCAAAAGCGTTTGTTTCACTCCCCTCTTCATTCAATTCAATTTTTCATCGGTAGTTCAATGGTAGAATACTTATGATTCAATTTTTCATCGGTAGTTCAGTGGTAGTATTCTCATATTTCAGTTGTCCATCAGCACTCCAATACTCAAATTAATGTTTCACTCATACTTTATTAACGAATCATCAAAAAAAAATACCATCAATCAATACGAAATATTACAAACATTGCAAATTATCTGTTACACATGGGTTTTCCAAAAAAAAAAAAAATTCCAAAAAAATCTATTCTCTAACTGCGATTGTGCCTGTTGCCCCAGCCCCTCTTATGCGTGTCCTTGTACTCGTCCATGGCCCTCTGCTGCATGAGATACTCCTCGTCATCCCTCTCGATCTTCCCCTCCTTCTCGAGATCCTCAGGGGTCTCCTGATTCGAGTTCTGGTTGTTCGTCATGTCCTGGAGGCTCTTGGCACTAGCTCCTGGACCAGCAGCTGACCACTCGCCATCAGCAATCTTCTTCTCGTAGAACTCCTCGACAGTCATCACTGGCAGACTCGGATACCCAGCCCCGAACACCTTCTTCTGGACGTCGTTCTTCGTGATGATGATGGGCTGGAGCTTCGGGGGTTGATAATCCCTCGGTTTCGTGGACTCCTCGGCCCCCTCCCTCTTCATCTTCTCCATGTACCCTAGAATGTCCTTCTCCTGAGCTAGTGAGTTGATCTCGTCGATGGCCTTCATCACGTAGGACTTGATCAGCGTCACAAAGTACTTCCTGACGGTCTCGTCGTCCAGATTGGGATTGTCCATCGCCTTCCTCAGGATCACCAGCTGCTCCTGCAGCTCCTTCTCTTCTCTGAATCGCTTCAACTTGCTCTCGCGTGTGTGCACCATGTCCTCGATCATCTTCGTGTTGGATGGTGGAGCTGGTGAAGACAACTGCTGAGGAGCTTCACCAGTCTCAGCCTTCCTCTCGGGGATTTCCACGTCCGTGATGCCGTACCCCTTCACTCTCTCCAAAAAATCGTAGAAATAGACCTCTGAGACGTTTACGTAGTGCAAACGATGCGCCTTGTCGCACAATTTTGTGGCGAGAGACCCCAGGAGAGCGGGAAGGAGGAAGTACTTGATACTCTCCGTTGGAATCTCATCGAAATCCTCGTTTTTACTGAACATGTCTGCCATCGACACCAGCTTTGTCGCGTCCTCCAGCATCTTCATGCATCTCTTCACCTGGACCTGGACTTCTAGGTTAGACGTTGGTTCCTCGCTCTTCTCCAGGGAGTTGAAGAGATCCAATCCTGAGTCGAAGAGCGAGGAGAGACTTGTCTCACTTTCCGAGGGGCTACTCTCGCTTATTTCCATTTTTATTCGGATCTTGGGGTTTCTATTGACAATTTATGCGGCGATTGACAGAATTCAGTGGTTAATTGTTTATTTTTATTTTTTTCTCGGATTTTTTTGACTGGCAGGATGTGCCGGCTGGTAGCGCCCTCTGCAGGAGGACTCGGTCGATAATGAAGGGATTGATGATATCGGAGGGGGGGTGGAAAGAATTGATTTTTTAGGTTTTTTGAAAAATCGATATTATCTTGAGATGAAGGGGTTTTTGGATAAAATGGTAGAAAACTTTTTTACTGGAAACTTTGTCAGTTACAAAAAAGTTATATGATATTTCTTTCTAGATTCAATGGGTTTCGAAATAAATGCATTATTTTGTATTGACTTTTGGACTTCTACGACTGAGGTGACGTGATTGATCAATATAGAAATGTAATTATCTCGATAACGAGCGGTTTTAGAGAGTAATGTGGAAAGACATTTATTGTTGGGAATTTAATTTTCTAGAACAAAGTTATTTTACATTTTCTTCTAAATTCACTGGTTTTTTTAATAACCGCGAAATTTCGTATTGACTTCTGGATTTTTCCTAATGAGATTTCATGTCTGATGAAAATAAAGAATAATTATCTCGTTAACGAGTGAATCTAGAGCGAAATATTATAAAACATTCTATGTTGAGAATTTAATTCTCCATAAAAAATTCTTTCAACATTTTCTCGGAAAACCTCTCTTTTTTCGACATAAACGCATAATTCATTAGTGACCTCTCAAATTTCACGATCAAGAAGAAATTATTGATGAATACAAAAGTCCAATTATCTCAATAACAAGCGATTCTAGAGCAATATACCATAAAACATTTTTTATTGGAAATTTAATTCTCAACAAAAAAGTCGAATGACATTTTCTCTTAAACCCCCTCCCTTTCAAGATAAATCCAAAAAAATTCAAACTTTCTAAATTGACTCACGTAATTCAGGAATTTAAAATATCTCCCTTCACTCTCAAATATCTCAAGATCGGCAGAGTGAAATCCATCCAATCAGCGCTCATTCCAAAGATACATCCTCACCCTTCAAAATAAGCCCAAATTCATCCAAATCGCGTCATCCCATCGTGAGATATTTAAAATCAAGTGACCCCCATTTTCCTATTTTACCATTCAATTTTCATTTCAACATAAATTTTCACATTCAATTTCAATTTTCAATTCAAATTTTAACACCCCAAAAAATTTCAAACGCAAACCTATCGTTCAAAATCGTAACTACCCACAAAATGGCGGCCCTTCCGACGCCCCCCATTGGCCCACGTGACCCTCCCCTCCTCCACAAACTGCGTAGTGATGTTCGTTGTGTCGTTTGACGCTGTTTTGCGCGGGACTAAATGGTAAATAGATTACTTTCCCCCCGAATTTGACAAAATAATTGTCACCCCTCAATCATCACGAGAGATCGTCCCCAAGTCAATTATTCATCGTCTCCGAAACCGCCGAAGGACGTCCAGAGCATCAAGCTGGTGAGTTTCCCCCGCACTCTCCAAACATTCGCCACAAAGAAGCCCCCAGATAATTTAAGGTTATGTTTGCACCTTAAACACCCAAACCCCCAAAAAAAATAACACCAAATCCCATATTTTTCAGACTAAAAAATTTCTCCATCACGATGTCTCGTTCAACGAGACTTCGTAAGCCCCCATCGAGATTCAGAACCGATGAGCCACCCCCAGAGGCTGAAAATCCCTCACCAAATCCACGAAAAGGTAATCAAAAACCCCAAAAAGACGTCCTATTGGAATTACGATCGCCAGTTTTGCGGGACAGAACGAATTTAACGGTCGAGTCATCAAAAACTGTTATTTCAAAAAAAGGTATTGGCGATAAGAGAGTTGACAATGACCCTGAGACGAGAATAAACACAAGAGGCTCAACGAAAAAATCAACATCAGCACCAGACGATGAGAATAAGAAGAAGACAATTGTCAAAGGACCAACGAGGCCTTCATCAGTGATAAAAAAGCATCCTCCCCCAGTTCCTTCGAGGTCGAGTAAAAATTCTGGTGTCCAAGTGACCGAGAAAGAGCCTGACGATGTAGAAAAGCCAAGAAAAATCCCCACGAGGATAACACGAAAGGTCTCCAAGGATCCCCCCAAGAGCATGAAGCCTTCATCGAGGGGAGCCTCCCCCAGGAGCACGAAATCATCTCCAAGAACTCGACCAGAGGGTCCAGAAGCCCCTGGGAACGTTCCCAGGACGACGAGATCGAAGACATCATCAGCTGCTGGGCCAAAACCCCCAGATAAGCCAGAGAAAATCGAGAGAAAGTCAAAACGCCTCACGAAACCAACTGTCAAATCTCCCCAAAAGCCAGAGAAAAAGTTCTTCAAGAACAAGAGAAATATCACCCTGACCCACTCCAAGGTCTCCCCCATGAAGCGAGGGCTGAGGCTCCCCAGGAGGCCCCTGCGAACGAAAACCTCTCCCTCGAGGATACGTCAGCCAACCCTAGCCGAGTCCTTCGCAAAAGTCAAGAAGACGTTGAGACCGAGACGAACGGCCAAGAATTACAACGAGGAGACGATCGTCGAGAGGAAAAAACCAGAGGCTGGAGGTGATCACCCAAAGCCACCAGTCTACAAGACCCTGAGTGTCCAGGAGAATCCCAAGGACAAGGAGGAAATCTACGAATTCAGTTTCGATGCTAATGACTCCAGTGAACGACTCCAGAGGAAGAGGAAGAAGAGGACTGTGAGGAAGGCACCAGCCAAGAGGGCCAAGAAGATGATTGAAGGAGTCGAAAGAAATCCAGAAGAACTCGTTAAGAAAGTTGATAAAAAAATTCCTGTAGGAATCACTAAATCTGGTGGTGAAGGTCTCAAAAAAGCTCTTGGGGGTGAGAAAATTCGTGCTGCTGGAGTTGGAGTCGTACCTGAGGCAGTTGCCACGACCTCCAGGCCTCGGGATCAAGAAGAAAAGATTAAGAAAACGAGTGGAAAAATTCCTGGAGCTGAACCTGGCGTTGAAATTGGTGAGAAGGGGCTTGAGGGGGGCCCAGGGGTCCTGGGAGAGGCTTCCAGACCCCTGGACAATCATCAGAATGTCCCTGAAGCGTGTCAAATCCCTGAGGAAGCCCCAGCATCTCCAGCCCCGTCATACCCATCATCCTCTCGAGGGAATTCCCCAGCCCCTGAGCACTTCGAGGTGATTGTGGACGTCCACGTCCCCTCGGACACCCCCTCGGGCACCCCTGGACCCTCGAAAATCCCCTCGTCGACCCCAAAAACACCAGTTCTCCAGTCCAAAAAGCCCACGATGTTCTCCAATGAGAGACTCGAGGGAGACAGAAGGATCAGCCTGACTTCGACTCCTCTGCACGCCCCCTCGGACTCCACAGGCCCCACCAGTGCCTTCACCAATCGCCCCTCCACACAGTACAAAACAATGATGAATCACTCGTTGATCAGAAGATCATTCTCCCCAATCGTTAAGCAAAATAACGATAAAGTTGACTGCAATTTCGATCCCAGCAGCCCCTGGCGTCCAATCGCCACGAATACTTTTTCGAGGGTGAAAAATGTCTTTCAGAGCACTCCCCAGGGGAAAAAAGTCCTCACGCCTCATGGAATTCACTCCTTGACGACGGAAAACAAAAGAGCGATGGGGAAAATCAATAAGATCGTGGAGGAGAGTGACTCTTCGGTTGTTGAGGCACAGAATAAGTCACCTAGGAAGTTTGGAACTGTTTTGGGAAACGTCTCGAGCCCTGGGACTGCCAGCCCCAGGATGTCTGAGGGGAGCTCTGCGGAGGACAAGGAGAATCAGGTGAGTCCCAGGAAGAGCAAGAGGGTGAGGACGCCCTTGGGGAGTCCCTTGAGACCTCTGGAGAATGAGAGGATGAGGGATGAAGCTTCTGGGGTGGAGAATGAGAAGGTCGTGAGGGAGGAGAGGGTTCTGAGGCAGTCGAACCTCCATGGCTTCCTGGGGATCCCTGAGATGCCTGCGAGCACGAGCATCAGCACTGCTCATGGGATCTTTGATGAGGGGGAGGGCATTGTTCCTGGGAGGAGTGCCAAGAGGCCTGGGGAGCAGTTCAGTGTTGGAAATGCTTTTGGGTTTGAGGAGGAGAGCTGGGGGGGACAGGATGAGTCCTCAGGGGCTGCTCCAGGGGCTGATGTTGCTGGGGAGATTCTGAAGAAGGTTGAAGCCAAGGAAAAGGGGCAGAAGAAGGTTGAAGGCAAGGAAAGGGTTGATGTGGAGAACATTCGGAAGAAAATTGTGGAGAAGAGGCCTGTGAGGATGCCCACCAGGCCAGTGCAGAAGGTCGTTGTTGAGGATTTGGATAAGATTGAGAAGGAGAAGGAAAGGGTGGAGGTGAGCAGTGGAGATGTCAGTGAGGATGAGGGTGGAGAGAGTGTGGTCAGGAAGGAGACCCACGAGGCCACCAAGAAGGACTTGGTGGAGGCTGGGCACTTCTTGGACACCTTCGATGCTGAGGAGAGGGAGACCAGCCCTGTGGAGGTGCCTCTGTTCGTTGATCCTGAACCTGTGCATTTTAGACAGGTGAATTTCTGGGGATGAGGATTTTTTTTCGGTTTTTCGTCATTATCTTGATAACGAGTCGTTTTGCAAGAAAATTTCACTGAACCTTTCTTATAGAGAATTAAATTATCAAAAGAAAATTTCTTATGACATTTTTCTCTCAAATCTGTAGTTATCAAGATAATTCAGGATTAAACTTTCGTCACTCATTTTATCAAAATTATGAAAACTACAAAGTTGATTACAAATTACGCAATTATCTCCATAACGAGCCATTTTACAAGAAAATGTCACTGAACCTTTTTTGTAGAGAATTAAATTATCAAAAGAAAATTTCTTATGACATTTTTCTCTCAAATCTCTAGTTATCGAGATAATTCAAGAGTAAACTTTCGTCTCTCATTTTATTAAAATTATGAAAACTAAAAAGTTGATTACAAATTACGCAATTATCTCCATAACGAGCCATTTTACAAGAAAATGTCACTGAACCTTTTTTGTAGAGAATTAAATTATCAAAAGAAAATTTCTTATGACATTTTTCTCTCAAATCTCTAGTTATCGAGATAATTCAAGAGTAAACTTTCGTCTCTCATTTTATTAAAATTATGAAAACTAAAAAGTTGATTACAAATTACGCAATTATCTCCATAACGAGCCATTTTACAAGAAAATGTCACTGAATCTTTTTTACAGAGAATTAAATTCTCAAGAAAAATTGTTCTCTGTAAATTTTCTCTCAGACCTCTCGTTAACGAGAAAATCAATCTTAAATCTGGACGTCCAATACTCATTATGTTTTAAATAATTTCAGCCCCCAAGATATTCCTATGGTAAACGTAAAAGAGGTTTCCACCACAACACCTCCGACGAAACCGAGGATATTCATTCCGAGGAAGAGGACGAAGATCACTTCACACGTAAAACGAAAAAACGTAAAATGACAAAAGCTGAGAAGGAGCAGCAGAAGAAACTCGACGAATGGGCAAAGAGTGTCAACCAAACGTTCGATGAAATTGAGCATTTCGATCTCATTGTGGAATGAAAGGACTTTTTTATCATCAAACTTATAAATTATATCGTTTTTCAAAAGTCAGAATCTCTTTTATCGAACAGACGAAACCACATCCAGGCTGTTGTGGACATTCGCCACTCCGACGTGTACAGATCACTCGACATTTCGCTGATGTACTGTAAGTTTTATGTTATGGAAACAAAATTTAAGTGTAAAATTAGGATAAAAAGAGCTTTATATGGCCTGAAACTTATTTTTCTAATGGCAATATTTAAAATTCTTTAGGGTTGTAAGAACGTGAGGTTTTTCTATCAGATTATATTATTATTCTCGTATTATTATCTTGTGTATGGCTCCGGTGCAGTTCTTTTGTATAAATATGGTGGAAATATAAAGATTTTTATGAGATAATATTTTTTCTTTCGTTTTTCCTTCGGTGAAGGTGAAGAGAAGAAAACCTTTTATCATTTTTTATGAGTACTCAATCTGGGGATTAGTTTTTTGCAAAAATCTCAGGAACGAGTGGTTTTAGGAGGAAATACCTCTCGACCTTTTTTATAGCTGATGAAATTTCCAATAAATAATGTCTTATGATGTTTTTCCCTAAATCGATTCATTATTGAGATAATTCGACATTTAATCAAATGAAAATTATCTACTTTGTCATGAAAACTTCAATTTGAAGATTTGTTTTTTGAGAATATCTCAGGGACGATTGGTTTCAGGAGGAAATACCTCTGAAGCTTTTTTATAGCTGACGAAATTTCCAACAAAAAATGTTCTATGATGTTTTTCCCTAAATCGATTAATTATTGAGATAATTCGACATTTAATCAAATGAAAGTCATCTACTTTTTAATCATCACTTGAAAATCACAAAAATTGTGACGATTGACAAAGAAAATCATCACTTCTCACACAGCGACACACAAAGGCTCTCCTTATCTCATCACATTAGTCACGTTTAATTTTATTTCGCTTTCTCCACTGATAAGGCATCACATCCGCTGGAAAAAATAATACAACATTCAATAGACCATCGAGAAGACTCATTTTAAATTCATGGTGCATTTCAAAATGTTCATCGGTTTGAGGAATGAGGTGCATTGTTCCGGTCGTGTATTTAACATACAATGGGGATGAAAATAATCCAGAATTTTAATAACTCTTGAGTAAATATGGCATGTCATAAAAATAACATTCCGTAAGAAACAAGAAAATAAATTTTTTGTTGAAAAAAAAATTCCCGTCCGTTCTATTGTTGAAAAAAAAAAATTTTATTCAATTTTTTCAAGACTCCACGAACTTTTTTATGCCCCATATTCATCCCGATTTGAAGAGAAATTCTCTGAAAGTCAAATGGGAGAGTCATTGGAAGGGTGAAACGGAAGGGCAAGGGAGGCCCTCTAATTGTTTTGCTTAACTCTCCCATTTGACCCTTAAGATTGCTTTGGTCAACTCTCCCATTTCACCCGCAAGAACATTTGATGGGAACGATGGGGGGGAGGGGGAGTTTCCAGAAGGGTCAAACGGGAGAGCAAGGAAGCCCTTCAGGTTATTTTACGCAACTCTCCCATTTTACCCTTCTGCTTATTTTACCCGTCTCTCTCGTTTGGGCCTCCTGAATGTGCGACCCTTTCGACAACCCTACCATCTCACCTGTCTCTCCCATTCGACCCTTCGCTCCTATATAAACAATAAAAAATTCTGAGTTATAAAATCAAACGGGAGAGCTGATCAGAACACGCCCCTTTTGCTCTCACGTTTAACCCTCATGAATGTTCTACTCTTCTGCTAACCGTACCCGTCTCTCCCATTTGGCCCTTACGAACATTTGACGGGAGAGATGACGGAATTTATCAGAAAGGTCAAACGGAAGAGCTCATGGACAATCAGAACGCCCCTTTTGCTCTCACGTTTGACCGTCATGAATGTTCGACCCTTCCTATACCCCTGCCCGTCTCTCCCATTTGGCCCTTACCAACATTTGACGGGAGAGATGACGGAATTTATCAGAAAGGTCAAACGGAAGAGCTCATGGACAATCAGAACGCCCCTTTTGCCCTCCCGTTTGACCCTCATCGACCTTTCTGATAACCCTCCCGACTCTCCCGTTAAACCCTTCAAGACATAAGATAAAAGCGGTCATTTGAATCATCAGAAGGGTCAAACGGGAAAGTTAAAATACAATTAGAACGGCTCTCTTGCCCTTCCGTTTAGCCCTTCTGATAACCCTCTCCCGTCTCTCCCATTTGACCTTTCACCGCCAACTCTCCTACAAAAATGAAAAAAAAAATCTGAGTTCTAAGAAGGTCAAACGAGAGAGTTCATCAGAACAAACAGAACATTTCTCTTGCTCTCCCGTGTGACCCTCCTGATAACCCTCCCCCGTCCCTCCCATTTGACCTTTCACCGCCAACTGTCCTACAAAAATGAAAAAAAAAATCTGAGTTCTAAGAAGGTCAAACGAGAGAGTTCATCAGAACAAACAGAACATTTCTCTTGCTCTCCCGTGTGACCCTCCTGATAACCCTCCCCCGTCCCTCCCATTTGACCTTTCACCGCCAACTGNCAGAAAGGTCAAACGGAAGAGCTCATGGACAATCAGAACGCCCCTTTTGCTCTCACGTTTGACCGTCATGAATGTTCGACCCTTCCTATACCCCTGCCCGTCTCTCCCATTTGGCCCTTACCAACATTTGACGGGAGAGATGACGGAATTTATCAGAAAGGTCAAACGGAAGAGCTCATGGACAATCAGAACGCCCCTTTTGCTCTCACGTTTGACCGTCATGAATGTTCGACCCTTCCTATACCCCTGCCCGTCTCTCCCATTTGGCCCTTACCAACATTTGACGGGAGAGATGACGGAATTTATCAGAAAGGTCAAACGGAAGAGCTCATGGACAATCAGAACGCCCCTTTTGCTCTCACGTTTGACCGTCATGAATGTTCGACCCTTCCTATACCCCTGCCCGTCTCTCCCATTTGGCCCTTACCAACATTTGACGGGAGAGATGACGGAATTTATCAGAAAGGTCAAACGGAAGAGCTCATGGACAATCAGAACGCCCCTTTTGCCCTCCCGTTTGACCCTCATCGACCTTTCTGATAACCCTCCCGACTCTCCCGTTAAACCCTTCAAGACATAAGATAAAAGCGGTCATTTGAATCATCAGAAGGGTCAAACGGGAAAGTTAAAATACAATTAGAACGGCTCTCTTGCCCTTCCGTTTAGCCCTTCTGATAACCCTCTCCCGTCTCTCCCATTTGACCTTTCACCGCCAACTCTCCTACAAAAATGAAAAAAAAAATCTGAGTTCTAAGAAGGTCAAACGAGAGAGTTCATCAGAACAAACAGAACATTTCTCTTGCTCTCCCGTGTGACCCTCCTGATAACCCTCCCCCGTCTCTCCCATTTGACCTTTCACTCCACCCCTATAAAAACAAACCAATAGCATTGCGATAAACTCGAAGTGAAGAAAGAAAAAAATTATGCATTAAAAGGCGTCTCAATACAGTCGATAGATAATCCCCAAAAGGAAATACCGATATGACCCAACTGAGAATGCGGTAACATAGGCTCGTGTCGTTAATCCGCGGAAAGAATAAATAATAGTCGTCACAATGGATTTCAATAAAATAGAACCGGATTGTATATATTTTTCCCCTTTGTCTCGAGTCGTGTGTGGTCAGCCATGTCGCACGTGCGTGTTATAAGTTACTCTCTCTCTCTCTCTACTAAAAGGGTTGACTCATAATTCGCGTTGAATATAACGAGTGAGTTCACTCAGCTGTTCAGAGTCCGATTTTGTAACTATCGCTTGAATTCGTGTTTTTCTTTTTCCTTTCTTTTTGTTTTACCCACTTTGCGGGAAACTGCGCACTGGAGAATTTGAAACCAGTTGTACGTGTTATCATTTCATTGTTCTTGATTATTGCCAAGTCACTCGTGTTCGACGCAGCTCGCGATTATTATGCGTTATTTTTTTTCATATGAGATTGGGGAGTGAAAGGTTGAATCGTGAGGAATTGAATGGAAAGCATCGATTGAGAGGGAAATTTAGATGTTTTTTTTCATGTCTGTTGTTCACAAAATAACGAACGGTCACTCGATTCGTCTCTCCCATTTGACCTTCTTGATTACTTCGCCGGTCTCTTCCATTTGACCCTCAAAAATGTTTGACCCGTTTGATCATTTCGCGCGTCTCTCCCGTTTGACCTTCTTGATTCCCGCGTTTGTCTCTCCCATTTGACCCTTTTGATTATTTCCACTCAACCCTTGAAATTTCATGGATTCAACCGATCTTGAGAGTTAAACGGGAGGGCCAGGCGGAATAATCACAAGGTTCAAACGTTCTCAAGAGCCAAATGAAGGAGAAGAAGTGGAGTGATCACGTCGCTCGTCGCTCTCGTTTGATACTCTTGATCCCTGCGTCTGTCACTCCCATTTGACCCTTTTTATGATCTCGTTCGTCTTCCCCACTCAACCCCTGAAATTTGGGGGTCCCAAACAGGCTTGAGAGTTAAATGGAAGAGCCAGATGGAGGGTCAAACATTCTCAAGGGTCAAATGGAAGAGGCAAGGGAAGTAATCACTCCCCTTGTCTCTCCCATTTAACCCTCAAAACCGGAAAGGAATTCTGATGTTTGTTAAATGTCCAATATCTTCGAAACGAGTAGTTCTACGGTAAAATATTATAAAACCTTTTTTGTAGAGAATCAAATTTCTAACAAAAAATATTCTGCAATATTTTTCTCTAAACTCACTCCTAACTGAGATAATTCACCACTTTTTAAGATGATCACCTCGCAATAAAAATTATTTCACGAAAATGACGTCAGTCTTCACGGAAGCATCGAGGGTTGTCGACCACAAAAAAAAAATTATCCTCAATTTATAGAAGGCCCCTAGACAAAGTAAAGAAGCCAGTATGTTTTCTCAGGCCTTGGTAAGATCCCTCGGAGTCCCCTCAAGGCTTCATCTGATTTTCCACAGAGAGGCAATGAGATTCCTATCCATCTTGACGTTGTTTCGCATTTTTTTAATCGTTTATTTTTCCACCTTCGGTGATCTCTAGTATGCGCTCTTTATTCCTCGATATCGGCCTTCAGTTCACGTGGAGGAACTGGCTCAAGGCCACTACTACGTTCTCTATTCGCTAGTCGAGAGTTCGAATTTTCGAATGGAGAGTATACGGGTGAATGCCATCTCTATTTGCCTCTCACTTTCAGAAATAAAACTAAATCATTTGTTTCCACCGAGTCTTGGAATTCCTGGGGTCGAACCCATATCAGGCAATCCCATTTCCGGAACTCAAACAGCCCAGGAAAATTCTATTGAATTTTTTACTCCACGAGTTGATCATTGAAGTCATCTTCATTTTGAGCTCCAGTTTTTCGCGAATATCT